GCAATAGATCCTGTGGGACTCGAGCACACAGCTGTGGGGAACTCCTGTAAGCCTTTGGTTTTTCTTGGACATTAATTTGGAGGTTTAGTTTTTTCTGCAGGAGCTCAGCTGTGATCTTATTCAGCTGCTGCACTCTGTCTCCTGGAGGAGCAGCTGACTCTCAGCTCCATTAACGACTCAAACAGCAGGGGGGCCGGCCCTAACTACAGGAGCAGAAACGGACCGGGTCTGGGTCCTGAGTGAGCAGGCTGTGTTCTGATTAGATGTGTGACATGGTCAGAGCCTGATGATGTCACGCCTGCATCAGGAAGACGGAGCGGCGCCGCGCGTCTCTGTAAACTCAGCGGCAGCAGCAGGAACGCTTCAGCCAGACTTCTCCATTTTCAGCCTTATTCTGGTTTTTGTCTCAGAATAAACGGACTGACAGAAACGTCAGACCTGATTAGTGACTCACACTATAGAAACCTGGACAAACATTATCCATCATATTCAGATCAAAACTCCAAATTAATACAAAACATTTCTGTTTAAATCAGCTTCAAGTCACAGAGTTTGAAGCAACAGATTATAATGTGATTTTTTTAATGATTAATAATTCCATAATTTTGTCAAAAATGACCCAATTTTTCAGTTTCTTAGAAGTTTTTCAAAACAAATCTTTGACATGTTGTTGCTCATTTATTTGCTCTCCTTTTAATGAATCTGGTCATCTGATTTTCATAACATTATAATTAAATGTTATAAATGTACAGACATCTGGATTAGTGGTTCTGCCACGTTTCACCAGCATCACATGTTCTGTAGAAAATAGCTACTAGATTGAGTAGTAGCTTATGAAATATTCATAAACTCTCTTAACTCCAAGTTTCAACATGTAAAATAAAAATTACCAATCTCTTGTTTTGTTAATAAAATCATATAAAGTTGTTAATAAACAATAAAAATGAGCAACTTGACAGGCTACCGGTGCAGCTGCGGCCCTGAAAAGCCAACATACATCAAGTTTCTTCAGTGAAATCATGAATTTACTTGATGGATGAAAATAAACAATAAGATGCCGCAGAGACTCAGAAAATCTTGAGTGGGAGGAGAAGAAGCTCAAAAGAATCACTCTTCATCAGAGAACAAACTCAGATAAACAAACTGTTGTCGTTGAAGAACTCAAGGTCATTTCTAAGAAATCCTTGAACTGTGAGAGTTGAAACTTTTCTGTTGAACAGCTGAGACATAACAGTTTAAAAGGAGCCTTTATTACCAGGTTGGAAAGACAAGAACTGAAATATGGTGGACGTGAATTAGAAGTTGCACTCTGCAAAAATATTGCCACTGCGACAGCAGTTAGGAAAGGGAAGATGGCAGGATATTTATGAAGTTGGTTGACAGATGCAAACATGCAGAAATCGCCGAACTGAGCTGCAAACGCATGAATGATGCAAACTCCAAAACAGAAACAGAAAACGGTACAAACACAAAATGCTGTGTCACTGAAAACAAAAGCAAAAGGGAAATTCAGTAAATAACAAAAACAGCAGCAAGAATGAAATGTTGCAAACTTGCGCCACAAACAAATGTCCTCCAGACCAGCAGGGGGAGTCGACCTCCAGACACTCAGTAAACAAGTGATTCAGTTCAGAGGAAAGTTAGAGGAATTAAGAAAAAGTGTCTTATGCTGCATATCTATTTCAAACATGCAGTATTTTTCAATAACTCAGCAGCATATTTACTGTTTTTGCATCGTGAGTTTGCAGTATTTCATCTTTTGCATCATTTTTCGCTTTGCCTCATTTTCCTGTGTTTGCAGGACTTTTAGATTTTGAAGCTCGGATCGTTTCTGTGTTTGCAGTGCATTTTGCCACCAGCTGCATGTTTGGACTTTTTGGCCACCATCATTTATGCTTTGAGCTATAAGACATACATGGAAATAAATAAATTAAATAAAATGAGCGTAAGAGCCGGAACATAAGATTATGAAACTTTCTCATTTTGTGGATCCACTTAGATTCGGTTCATGTTTCTGATTTTCTTTGCTGTTTTTAGGGTTGTTACAGATTTTAAAGTTACACTTTTCTATATTATTTCTCTTCCATATGGGAGACAGAGTATCTTTATCTGCTCTTGTATCAAACACACATCAGAAACTTCATGTTTTTACATTTTAAATTGATGTGAACATTTAAGGTTTTAAATCTTCTGAACGTCCAGTTTGGCATTTCTGTTTAAATTCAGTCTAACTTATGGAGCTTTCAGCTGCAGTGCATTAACAGAGGGCTGAGAGTCACAGGTCTGAATTAATCCTGCGCCGTGTAACTGTGCTGCTAAATCACGAAGATGCTTCGGCTCTCAGGAATTTAAAATGCACAAAGAATGATTAAAACGACAAAGTGCTCCGGCTTCCCCTTTGTCTTTTTGCAGCCTCAGCTGTCCAATTGCTGCTCGTTTTTCATCGTTTACGTCACTGTGAGAAAGACTACGCATTTATTTGCTGTTTGCATTTGGACCAGTAAACAAACGGACACTCTTTAATTATTAATTTGAGCTTTCTATTAGTTGGAACAGAGACAGAGGCAGGATTTTACATTCTGTTTCTTTTCTCCGGGAAACAGTTGAAACTTCTGAGGCGGAAGCAGAATAATAGCTGTTGTGATGGGGGCTTGTCGAGTCCCTCAGCAGCCCTGGCAGAAAACAAAGAAGCAACATCAGCCTGCTTGCTTTTCTCATCACGGCTGCAGGTAGAAGCTGATCGGTGCGGCAGACTGCAGCTTTGGATCATGCAGCTGACCCCAACAGTAGCCTGTAGCCTGCAGAGCTGCTGCAAGCTGCTTTTCATGGAAATGTTTATGTGGCATATTCTGAGTTTGTTGGAGATATGTGAACCTGGGAGAACTTTTAAGAACTGCTGGCTAAGGGGGAAGTTTTCATGCTTAAAGAAGTGAAGTGGAGGCAGACCTGAATGATGCTTCTGCTACTTTAACATGTCAACCCTCAGGGGATTTATGCTATATTGGATATTTTCTGCATCTTCCAAGTTTTTCTTTTTTATCAGCTGGATCTCAACCAGCCAACCTCACCTAATTTCCACTCTGCTGTGGAAACGTAGATTTAGCAGAAAATGATTTTCTATCCATCTGTATGTGATGGACTGGCCACCAGTCTGGGGTGAACTCTGACTCTCGTCCAATTACTGATGGAGACAGGAAGCAAAAAGCCCACAACTGTCACTGGAGTAACTTGAACATGATCAATAAATAAGAATGTATTGAAATCAACCAATGAAAAGCAGATTCCACTTTTCAGATCTGGTCTTCACACACACTGGCTGGATGGTAAAGTCAGGTCAGTTCTGGCTCCAGGAGGCATCAAGAATATAAAGTAATAGAGGATCTAAGTGGAGTTAAAGTTAGAGCTGCTAACCGTACGCTGAGGCCTGAGGCTCAATCCTCTTGCCTCTTCAACAGGATGTTTATCCTGAAGAGCAAATCTGCTCGTTTTCCTGACCCACTATGTAAAGGACGACTCTAATAGAGGTCATACAAAGTAAATGATGAACATTATTAATTAATATACTCTTTAATTAATGAATGCAATCAGATAAGGTCTTTTCAACGTTTAAGGGTCAGTAGATTTCATTCTCATGAGTCTGGTGGCCTGAGGAGGAACATCCGCTGAAGTTATGACCACCATCAGTCAGTGGACTGGAAACGCTGGAAGATTTATAGCCAAATTAAAACTCTGATGTTGACAAATGTGTTTGGGTTAAAAAGGCCAAGTTATTTTGTATACTCCTGCTTTGTGACCTCGTTAGACTTATTTTCTACCCTGGATGATGGACATGCTTGTTTTCTGTGGGACAGGACTAAATGAAGGCAGTGTGCATCATTTTTTCCAAAACAACTTTACTTAATTACAGCAATAAAAGAGCTGAAAAGCTGCCATCCTCTGACATAAATAACATTCGGTGATGTTTCACAGTCGGAGGCTCCAGGCGGTTCTGCCCGGCCCGGTTCAGGGCTGCAGCAGAGGTGAGTCGATGTGACTCTGAGTACCAAGGAATCAGCTGACCTAAGATGGACACCAGATGCTACAGTCATGACCCTGACGCTCGTTAACGGGGTCATAAGGTCAAAGACAACCAGGACTGGGCAACAGTGAGAGGCAATGTCATCACACAGCAATGGAAGACAGTGTGACTCATTGAGATTTTATCAAACTGATCAGATTTGTGGTTTTATGATCCGTGTTTGAACTTTAGCTTCCAGTTTCTCCTTCATCTTGTTGGATCGTCTTGTTTAATCAAACAGTTTTTGTCTTGGCAGCTGATGATATGAGACTTCTGCACATGAACAGGGAGGGCTTGTCTTCTTAATGTGAGCAAAATGTTTCATTTGAATTTATTCAGTGGGGAGAGATGCATCTGCTTGGTGCCACTGTTCAATGTTTAAATCCTTTACTGGTGCTCAGCGAGCTTAGTTTATGCAAAATCAACACTGGGTCTGTCTGACAGGAAATATTCTCTACCAAATATTTCTATTCATTCAATGGCCACAAAGAAATCTGATTCTGCAGTCAGACTGTCAAAGATCTGTCAAAGAACATAGCTGAGAGTTGAATCTGGTTGAAGTTGGGCTTGAGCCTCAACTCTGCAGTTTTCTGCGTCGTCTTCTTCACGCCGTCTGGGATTCGTCCCGTTGAGCTCGACTTCTCAGGATGCATTTCATCCTGGCCAACCAACGATTTTCTGCTCTGGTTTTGATTGTAAAGCCATTCAGTCCATGTTGGCCTTGTTTCCAATGCTGAGAGGTCCAATTACAAGCAGGAGGATGTTTAAGACATTTCCTGCTCCTGCTCCTCACGGGGTTTGGCGAAAGTCTAATTCTTCACATTGACAGTCCAAGTAATTATTTCTCCACAGCACAGAGGTTGGTTTTATCAAGTCATACTGTGAAGCTTCTTGCTACATTTTCTCTTTCAACCCGACTCTCCCACCATCTTTCTGTCTTCAGGTACAAGGCCATCGTGAACCCGATGGACATCCAGACCTCGAGCGCCGTCTTCTGGACTTGTCTGAAAGCCGTTTCCATCTGGCTGCTGTCCGTCCTGCTGGCCGTCCCTGAAGCCATTTTCTCTCAAGTGATTTCCATGCAGGTACAACAAAAACTGCATTTATCCTTTCAGATTTCCTTCCTACAATGTAATGTTTCAAGATGTTTTGGGAGCTTCTGGTTCTTGTTCTAGCACAGCGAAAACCAAAGGAGCCATTGACAAAATCACAGGAAATCTTGGTCCATTTGGGTTTGTTACCTCATTGATCCAACCTGAGATAAATTCAACAAACATGGAAGAGACAGAAGATCCTATGTGGAATAAACATAACTGGGTTTTTAACTGCTTTGATTTGGGACTTGAAATGGCAGTCATGGTTTTATAGATGAAACTTTTCACCTAAACATGTTTCTGTGACTTTCTCTCATATTACACGGTGCAGATCTGCTTGGTCCAAGTTTCTGACGAGCTCTGAAAAGTAGTGACTCGGTCAGGTGAAGCCTGTTGGAGATTAAATGTTGTTTCTGCTGCTGAGCCGTGCAGCTTTCCACTTGTTTCACAGTTTTGATTTTTCTGAATTTGGAATGCTCCATGCAGTGAATTCAAAGCGCTCTGGTCTCATCTCTGCTGCATGTCGAGGCATTTTTGCACAGGGTTCCTCAAAGACAGAGGAATGAAAAAGTCGAAGAATAACAAGAAGAAACACCGTCGACTGTTTCAACTGGTAACTTCACTAAAAGCAAAATGTTTTCTGTATGGTTTAACGCCCCCCTGCAGGCATCCAGGAGACATTTATGTGAGAAACATCAAACCAGAGCTGGAAATATTTAGGAGGATGATGGAGACATCAGCAGACATTGTTTCATGAGTCATTGCTTTGATTTGCCTATAATTCCAACATGTTCTGATGTTCTTTTCGATCAGACTCAATGTGTCTTTAAACAGCACACAATTGGCTCAGTGGGGTTTCCCATCAAACACTCATTCTCTTCCAGCTCAGTGCTCTCTTTTATAGTCTCCTAATAAATGACAGCTGTCTCTGGTTCCCTCCACTGCCAGGTTTATGATTGTCTCAGTCTATTTGCTGCTCTCTTCGTCACGTTCTCCTCGTGTTTCTCGCCTCCTCAGGGTCACAGGGACAACATGAACGTCACCTTCGTGAACTGCGTGCCCTACCCGCTGTCCAATCAGATGCATCCCAAAATCCACTCGGTGATGATCTTCCTGGTTTACTTCCTGATCCCTATGACCATCATCACAGTGTATTACTACCACATTGCCCAAACACTGATCAAGAGTGCCTACAACATGCCGGGGGAAGTCAGTGAACACACCAAGAGACAGGTACGCTTCTGTCGCCTTCAGCGTGAGGCGGTTCAGTGATACATTTAGCAGTAATGTCCAAGTTATGTTTCCTTTTTATGAGGTGATATTAATCCAAACCCTGAGTTACCTGGTTTGGTTGAGTACAAGATTGGGGTTCAAGGTCATATTAGTGGCAAGCAGAAAGTTTAAGGGCTTCAAACTCTCAAGAACAAGTCAGGCAGAAACCTGGAAGCTCCTGGAAGGTCCCAACCTGAAAGAGAGGGAAAAAAACAGAGCAAAATGGACGCCATTTTCCTCAGGGCTGGGATTGTTGCCTCAGTATGAACATGAGGACAGATACATAAAACTCACCGGTCTTTGTTAAAGAGACACATGAATCAGTTTGGTTAAAGCTGAACGTTTGTGCAAACTTGACATTCGAACATGGAATATAAGCAACGTGTGTAAAGTCAGACGGGAACGTTGAGCCTGATGGAGAACCTCAGCAGTCTGATCTCACTCTGCTGCAGGACTTAGTACCGGCCAACACTGTCAAAGGTACCAAAAGCTTCTTCAATGACCCCGGTGGTCCAAACTGTCCTGACCGGTCAACAGGAAGACAAACAAATCAACCTGAACTTCCTGAACACCTCAGCCTGATTACCTCCATCACACGTTGCATTGATGCACTAATTAATGCAAAGGAGCCTCAAACAAGGACTGTGTGAACAGACAGTGCAGGACCAGAACATCCATTTCAGTTGGCCAACATTTTTATATTGCAAATAGTTTTTTATTAGTTTGTTGTGACATTTAAATTGTCTGGGAATCAAGAATCAATACCAATAGAAATGAAAACTTAATATTTCTCAGTTTATGGAATAAATCCACCATTTCTTGGCTGGAAGAAATCGTCCATGTTCAGGATCCCACAACATCTCTGTTTTTACACAGTATGGCATGAATTATTGATGGCAAACTGCTAAAGACTGAGTGTTTTTGAGGTGCAAAAAGACTTTATAAGTGAAGTTTGTACAAAAAACTGAGGTCAACGAGAGACGTGTCATCGTTGTCGCTCACAGGAGAGAGACGGCGCTTCAGGGAAACGATATCTAGTTACTTTAGGTGCAAAAATCTGAATGTAGCACAACTTAATATTTACTTAAGGTATATTTGAAATAACTTCAAATAAATGATCCGTCATCATACGGGAACATTTTATTAAACTACAACGTTTTCCGTCTGTTAAGACTAACAGGGGAAGATTCAGTCATGAGCTTTTTGCACCCAGAGCTCCCTCAAAGGGAGTAAACATTTGGTCTGCAGGGGAGGCTTTAGTGGGAGGCAGCGTGTCAGTCAGAGTGTGTAATCACTTTTCACAAGCTTGATCTTCACGGATGGAGGGCAGAAGGAGGAGCTGAGTTATTAACAGCCCCACGGCTGCAGAAAGCATCAGGTGTCAGAAATCAGAGGATGCCAGAGTCACTGCGACGCCTCCAGAGGAAAATGTAACAAGAATCAATGCTGATGGCAAATCTGAGAGTCTGTGCTTTAATGACATGAATGCAACTGGAAGCAGCGTTCAGAGAAAACCGACACGCCACTGTGGTGACTGGAGCGCTTGGTTAAGAAGCCAAGAAATGATTTCTCCCAGTGGGAAGAGGCTGCAGAACAGAACAAAACAGAACCAGAACCAGAACCAGAACCCACTTGAATCATTTCATTTCACGGCTGACTGGGAAACGTCTCAAACTCCTAACAGATGAGCTGCAGGAGGAAAGCTCTGCTAGTTCATCTGTTTTTACCCAAAACCTGAACCATGAACAGAAAACATGCAAAACCATCAGAATCAGTGAAAAAAGACGATTTGATCGACACGATAATGTCAAACAGATGTTTCTGAATCAGATTCAGGAATAAAAATTAACTTGATTTAGTTAAATAGCTCAGTCAAAGGTAGCAAGCTAAGTATTTAGTTTGTAGAGTTAATATTTAGTTTGAAGCTAAGTATTTAGTTTGCAGATATTTTTAGGTAATTCGCAAACACACTTGATGATAAGAGGAAGTGGATAATCAAATTAAGAGCGTCGTTATAAACTCCTGGTGAGACTTAACCACTTCATGTCACCTGAGGCTGAAACCTAAAGACACATTTATGTCCTCATAAAGTCATTCTGAAGAGGTTATTCTCTCTATCATTAATATTATTTTACATCCTGCATCTTTTGTGAGTCGACCAAACAGTCGGGTGAATTTCCTGCTTACGGTCGGACAGCAGATCCAGTCTGACTTTTCTGCAGAACGTGGGAGTAAATCAGCTTCCATCAGCTGTGATGATGATGATGATGATGATGATGATGATGAAATATTGCAAGTGAAGATGCAAAGCGACACGGCAGTTTGAGCTGCTGCCTTCCATCCCAGAGGAGAGATGAAAAACTGAGTATCGATTTTCAGCCCCATCGAACAGCAAACCACGAAGAGCAGAAGAGATGTTGGACTTTAAGAGAATCTAAAATCTCTAATGCTGATAAAACGTGAAGAGAAAAACTTCAAACTAATTCTGTCTGGACAGAATTAGTTCTAAAGATTGATCTGATAAACTCATTTGAGTTAATGAGTTTATCAGATGGGTGAGAAAAAGCAGCTCATCTCTTGATCAAAAGAATTAAAAATATATATTTTTTAGCTTTTTGAACATTTTCAATCTTCTCAGCTGTCCTGATCTCTATTAGACTCACACCTGTGTGTTGTGCTGCTTGACCTCATCTGTATGCATCCTTGTAGGATCACCTCATTAAGTTCAATACAGACATTTTAAGCAGGGCGTTAAAAATAAATTGACTCACAGATGACATCTGTAAACAAAGCGATGGACGATAAAGCTGCTTCTCCGGTTCATTGATTGAGTTTTGCTTCAGGAAAAGATTTCACCTCAATATTATGGCAAAGTAAAAACAACTGGGGTCTGGACTTTAAATTAAAAATGTAACTTTTTTTTAAAAAAGCAGGGACATCTGCTTATTTGTCATTTTGGATGAATGACAAAGTCTCCTTTCTTGGGTTAATTCTTGCTCCAAAAACCAATCTGATGGGATGCTTGTAAAAAGGTGAACTGTGTTCAAGTTGTGCTAAAAGGAGTTAGCCTGTCAACCACGCTATGCTAGCTTAAATTAGCATAAACACAGACGTCCCAACATTAACACTTTACATCTCTAAGAAGCTCCATGAATGATCAGGACTTCCTGAAAAACACTTTGCACCATCTGATGGATGGAGAACCTGAAAATCAATATATTTTTGTTTAGCAATTTGTTCAATAATTTACCACCAAAAATGGTCTTTGAATTGAAAATGTTGCTTATTTTGTTGATATATGGATTTCAATCAAAATTTAATTGTTTGCTATTTCAATTAACAAGATTCCAGTTTTTACTGAGTTGTTACTAATTTAAACAGGTTTTAGAGTTCAGCTGTAATCTCTGGATATTCCCTCATTTTTGGTACTTTTCCACTGGAAATGTGTGTGTGTGTGTTTGTGTGTGTGTGTGTGTGTGTGTGTGTGATTCATTGCATTTCTAATCTTTGGGGACATAATGAGCTCTGCTCTCAGATGAAGCAGCAGCCTATTGAAGCAGCCGCATGCGGCTAACGCAGCAGTCGCCCTGTGACCCAGTGAGATGTGCAGATTTGGGCGCCGTGTGACGAGATATTCCCATTTAGAGAAGCTCTGATGGAATCGCTGCCCCATGAGAAGCTGCAGACGGGTTCAACAGTAATGAGATGAATTACATGACAAACACAATGAGCTCCGGCGAGGCGACACGGAGGGAGGAGGAAATGGAGGACAGTGACTTAACACAGCAGATTGAATGTCCGGATTTAATCTGCCTGCTGTCACCAGGATTATTAACTTCACAGTAAAAGTCTCTGATTGGGTGGCATGGACAACGCTGTCAATATGAGTGGGACTACATTTGATTCAGTTGGTTTCATAGATGTTAGAGGTAAGAAATGTGCAATTGATTGATGCTCACCTCCTCTCTGCACCAGTTTGATTTTCTGACACCTTATTTTGGTGCAAGTGGGTCAGATGAGCCAAGACTCTTAAGTTAGAATATTGGAGATAATTTAAGAAACCACTTACCCATAACCTCTTGTCTCAAAACCAGATTGCTAATCCCAAACTAGCTACCTTACAATCCTTGTTAAGTTAAAAAAAACTGCATTCACTGCAAATATCTGGTGACACAAACATGTTTCATGAACAAACAAGTTTCATGATGAGCTATGTGAGTGAATGCAGAATAACGTTCTCCAATCCTAAAAAAGATGCAGGCTGGTGTTTGAGGCCATGATCTCATCACCACATCCCAGCAGTCAGCATATATAGAAGGGAGGGACTAAAAAGTAAGAAATCAAAGTGTTGAAATGGCCCAGTCAAAGTCCAGATGTCAACCTGATTGAAATGATGCAGTTGGACCTTCAAATATCCGTTCAGACTCAAATTACTGACTAACAGACAGAAATGAGATATTTCTGCATATTTCAAATAAGTTAAAATGTGCAAAACATTTAAGACAAAAGAAAATCAAGTTCCAGTTTATAAAGGCTTTGCAAATGTAACAGAAAACACAGAATAATGACAAAGACTTAAAAATATCCACTTAATATCGTTTGTTTTATGATCCGTGAGCCTCTTCAACGCCCGGTAATCCTTCCCTTCGGTAATAAAACATTTAATGGATGAAGCCTTCCACGTTTTAACGCTCATATTGAAGTGAAAAATCAAAATAAAAAGTGCTGTGATTGAATTTCTGGTCTGTTTCGAGCCACGCTGCCTGATATCACATCTTCACCCCTCAGGTGTCTTTCAGGGCAGAAACACTGACAGCACAGAGAATGACATCAGCTCATCTCAGTCAATCAAATCAAATCTTCTCTGAAATATCTGCTTAAAAGACTTCAGACGACTTCGCCGTCATCACAGACCATTTCTATCAGACAGGTTCAGGCTGCAGCAGCCAACATGCCACTGA